TACTATTCTTTATATATGTATATGTGTGTGATTCGTGGAGAAACGAATCACTATGTTTAGCGTATAATGCACGTACGTGCACGACATGTACGTGTGCAACACACGTGGTGCGACCGCGCGACGCGACGTCCCGGCGTTCCCCCCCCCCCCCCGGCGAGATGCGAATTCGGGGGGGGAGGAGGGGTGTAACGGCAACGCGTGAACGCAACGATCATCTTCCGGTCTAAATTGATCCACCCGGATTTTCCGGCGAATCGTCGCCGACGGGGTTGCGATCGGGGATGAAAGCGCGTCCGTCCGTCGCGCGGATCAGGGATCCTCACGAGAATTCGAGATTTCGCGAAACGACTCGCGCGTTCGCTCGAACGCGTCGCGCTTCCTTTTTCTCGCTTGATGCGATCTCGTGCGTTATTTCCACAAGAAGATCCACGACAGTATATCATCAGATTTGTAAAATAAAGAGAAGGCTATACAACATAATCAGTCAGTCATCTTTGATCACGGTTCTGAAAGAATTTTTGTTGGCTCTTTTGACGAAATTTCGTATACGATCTGGATCTTTCTTTTTTTTTTTTATTATTTCTATTTATCTGTAGAAGAAACGCACGGAATGCCTCGAGTGCTGACGGTTAACGCTCGATCTCGTGACGCTCAGAGGGTGAGATACGAACGAAACGGACCGTCCTCACCCCCGGATACTTCGCTCTACGAGTACTCGATTTACACTTCTACTATATTATTAATCGCAAGTAATATCATTAATCGCTCATCGATCTTGTTCCGGGAAAGATTATTACGGACGATCGATAAGACCGAAAGGGAACGAAGGGAAGCCGTGCATCGAGAGAGTGCATCGAGAGAGAAAGAGCGGCAAAAGATACGTAGATGAGTATCGCGCGCGTAAACCGCGTACGAAATTACTAGCGTGAGGCGTTCACGCGACGTTAATTAATACGCGGGGCTATCTTAAAAAATTATGCGCTAAACGACAGCGGCCGTTCGCGCGCGACACGAGATCGCCCACGAGGGAGCGCGAAGGGACACTGGTGTGTCTAATCAGCGTCGTCGCTCGAGCGTACTCGGGCGACCACTAATGCGCCCGACTAATACACGCGCGTGGGGGTTGCTTCCCCGTTAACGGTGCTGTTCACGTGCCTAAGTGTGAAATCCCCTATGCGTTACACAATAATATCAACCGCACCGAGAACACCGAGCCGCATCGTTCACGAGACACACGCACGATATAGAAAAGATCACGGGCGCAAACAGGGGGTGGGGGGAGGGTGACTTGTACGGAGTATCCTATGTCGAGGGCGGGAGCGACGAAGCGCCCTTCATACGCGAGCGCGAAACTAAAGAGACTAAGCGCGCGAGTGGCAACGCAAACACAAAAATGAGACCTGGTGCTCAATCGAAAACGAACTATATATTGTCGCACCAAGGACAAAGGGAGAAATGATCAAGTACGCGCAGCCGATCGCCCCTACGGACACACCTTGTCAGCTTTCTTCTCTTTTATTTTATTTTATTTTTTTTTTAAATCCCTTAGTATCCCGTATTCACGCGATTCTCCACCGACGCGTTTCAACCCCTTATCTAATATTGCACACACCGGCACACGGAGGGCTATGTATCCGGCGGCGTTCCTTCGTCTTCCACGTTTTTTTTTTTTTCACATCACGTCCGCCGGATTGTCGCCCGAATAACGAACGAAATCGATCGTCGCGGATCTGAATCCAAACGCGCGATTGTCGACCGCGACACTATGCGATCTAACAATCTCGCTGATATCACGTATAAAAGAGAGAGAGAGAAAGGAAAAAAACAAATATGAACGAATAACAAAGAGTCGTATCTCGTCGAGTCCCGACAGCTCTCGAACGAGCGGAACACCATCGGGATCCGCGTTGCCCCTGGAACGAGGCCAATCCTTTGATCACGATGCGTTCGAATCGGCGCATTCGAATCTCCGCAAATTTTCTTTCTCCCTCCTCTCTCTTCCACATTTTTCTCCTACCTTCTCCTATTATCTACTTGCCGCTCGGACGCGAACTTTATAAATATTATATATAATTACGTGTATACGTACGGGGGACGCGCGTATACTTTACGAATTATGCTTAGCGTTATTTGTTCGCGCGCGTCCACGATCGAGGCGGATCGCTCCACGCTCCACGCACGGGACGCACCCTGTGTGTATTTTCGATCTCCCATCCTCCGCGGCGGAGCGCTCTCTCTGCGAATCGACGAGTCACGCTTACAGTATACTATAGAGATTCATGTCATTATTATTATTCCCTAGTCGATACTTTAATCGTTTTAGCATTACGTTACTAATTACGTTATAGAACTATCAATCAACGCCCTATCGTGAACCGTCTTGTTCGCGTCCGCCGGGCGACAACCCATCCGCTCATCTCAATAGAGTTCACCGGATGTCCGCCCGGTCCGCGCGCGACATCCTACATTTTGTCTTGAGCTGAGAACATACAGGCGCCGCGCTCCGAGGAGGTGTACCTCCGCTTCCCCGCGAGCGCGACAAAACGCACACGTATATATTACGCTATTTAAATAAATAGTCAGTCCTTGACCCCTCGCCTCGACTTCCGCCCGTTCCTTGGAACTCGTTTCTCCGTGGAAATGATCGTCGAATGCCGAAAATGTTTTCCGAGTTATTTCATTCTTTTTTTTTTTCTTACTATTTTTTCGTTTATTTTCCATTGTAGTCTTCGTGTAGGCCAACGAAGTTTTCGGCGCCCAGGCGGGCGCGATCGTGTTAGAATTTTCCTTCATGTCTCGTTCGACCTCGTTAATCTTCATCTTGATTGATTAATTGTGCCCTGCCGTCTTGTTTTTTAGGTGGATTTTCGAAGATTGTATTTCTTCGTGAGGCCCTTGCCAGGAAACCGAGCCGCAGTCTTTCGCGGGACGCCTCTCTCTCCGAATGGTGGTTTGAACCCCAATTTAACGGCCCATCGTCATTTGAGTCTGAGATCTCGTTTTTCTTTTTATTCAGTAACTTTATAAAATCGTATGTAATGTAATGGATATTAGAAAATAATAATTCCTTTAAGCTGTACACGATCTCCATTTCGATTTGCATCTCGCTGCATTTCGCTGAGCTGCCCGTGATGAGCGCGTCGATTATAAAGTAAGGAAGCCAGTGCCGATGTTCACCGCCGATAATATATCCGACCGACGGTTTATGGGAAGCCTTCGTTATACCGTCGTGACGTATTCGCGCAACTCGGGAGACTCGGACCTGAACCAAGGGTCGTCGTACTTGGACACCTCCTCGCTTCGAGTTCTACCGGGCGGTTTGGGACGCTCGCGGGGCTGCATGCGCGGTCCCTCTTCGCTCAACGATCTCTTCGTTGCATCTATATGCTTTGGCACCTCCAGTAGAGCCTTGGATCTGGTCAACTGGGGCCTCTGCCGCTTATTATCCTCGCTAGCGGCGCGTATTATCACGGTCGGCGGGGGAGGCCCGGCCTGCGGCAGTCTGTCCTCCAGCGGATTGGTAGTGGGGATCGACGTTTTCGTCCTGAACGCACCCTTCCGAATGAGCCGGGGCTTGCTGAATCTGCGCTCCGACGGTGAGTACTCCGGCGAATATTCCGGTTGAGCGATACTCTTTCGCTTGGAGGTGGGTGTGGTGGGCATTGGCGACCAAACGGGCGGCGACAGGTCATCCGGTGTGGTCACCTTCTTCGGCGGCGTCCTCTCCGGCGACTCGTCCTTCCAGCCACCCTGGTAGAGCGGGAACGGTGTGGGAGCCTGGTTGAGAATCTTCATTCGAAACTCTTCGTCGTCGCTCTTGCAGGGCGTCGCCGGCTCCGGCGGCGGACAATGCGTGGGCGTGACGTTGTGGAAGGGTGACCATTTCTTGTCATCGATTACCTCGACCGGAATGTCGCTCGGCGACTCGTCATACGGTGTCCATTTGATCTCGCTGATGTGCTTTTGCTCGCGCTTCTTTATCCCGATCGTCGGTAGCGGCGACGAGTCCTCGTAGGGCGTCCATTTGGTGCTGGTAATGGTAATCTCCGGCGAGATCAAACGTCGCACGATCCTATTCTCCAGCTTGGTCATTTGCCGTGGATCCGGCTCCGGCGACATGCTCCTGCGTATGCTGTACTTGGGTCGTTCGCGCAGACTCTTGCTCTTTGTCTCCTCCTGACTTCTGTACCACTTCGGCGCTTTTTTCTCGGCGGGCAGAGAGACATGCGGCTTCATGGCCCACCTTGCTCGTATCGGCTTCTTGCTTTCCGCCGGGCTGACAACCTTTTCTTTGTCCTTTTCTTTCTCTTTCTCTGACACCCTGAAGCCCCATCTTCTCGAACTTTCGCTTCTCACTTGAGCGGAGCGCTCCAGCTTGGGTCGATCTCTAGGTTTTCTGGCTCTGGCAGCTCTCGGATCCTCGCTAGCTTGTCTCTTTACTTCCGGTTTTTCCCATGGCGCAGTCGATTCCTCGGGCGTCAGCGACTTTGAATAATACAATTTCTTTTCCTCCTTCTGTATCGGTTTTTCCGGCTCTTTTTCCTCCGGCTTCGGTTCCACGGGTGACGCGGGGGCCGGCGTTTTTACCTTGGGACAGGTGCACCTCGGCTTAGGATTCGGCATCACGTCTGGCACCTGCAACCATCTGGCTTCCCTCGCGAATCTGGTGTCGTCGCTGCTGTGTTTCCTTAGGTCGTGCATCGGCGTCAACAGATTCTCGACCGACCACTTGTCCGTTTCCGCGCTGTGATGCTTCCTGAGATCGCCACGATGCACGCCCTCCGGCTTCTTCTCCTCCGGAGTCAGGCTGTGGCAACTGCACTTCGTCTTCCTGGCGAGATCCAGATCGGTGCTCGAGGTATGGAGCTCCCAGCGGAACTCCGTACCCTCGCTGGTGCGCCTTCTCAGATCCCAGATTGCCTCGTCGGGCGACAGGAAGCTGCTGGTACCCCATGTCACGTCGGTGCTGCGAACTCTCAGGAAACTAACGCGCTCTCTAGTGCGAGCATCGCTCTCGTCGCAGGTGCACAGCCTCGTCGGTGTCCTCTGTGATTCCAGTGGGGCCGGCTCGATGGCGTCCAAGTCCTCGATCATCCATGATATCTCCTCGCGGCGTCTTCGACCACACGATGGACAGAATATGTCGTCACGACTAGACCGCGGCTGCGGGCGGGGCAATGTCGGAGTCGAAGTCGAGGTCGATGCAGTGGGGTCAAGCTGCGAGAGCGGCTCCACGCCGTCGTGACGATGGCCATCGTCAGAGCGTCGTGACGTCGCAGCCGTGCCTGGCGATGCGCACCAGCAGGTGTGTGTAGCTCCGTCAAGCTGCCTTGGTGGGTACCGCGACTCCGGAGACGACGAGGCTCCGTTCGAGGCCGCTGCCAGACAGACTTCCGCGTTCAGTGGAACCGCAGGCCTATTCGAAATAATTCATAAATAACAGCTTGACTCGATGTATTTTTATTTTACTGTGCAAAGTATTTCTTAAACATCTTTAAAGAGAACAGGTTTTATATTTATAAGTGTAAGTGTTGATACCTTTTTCTTATTGTAAAAATAAAAAATATTTTTAAATATTTTTATTAATACCAAAAATAAATATTTATTGATTTTAAATTGATATAAATTGATATAAGTAATTTAAAAATTGATCAAATAATTATCAAATAATTATCAAATAAAGAAGTATCAAATAATTATATTAAAAAAAGTAGAGATATTATTGTGCTACGATAAACTTAATAAATTTAAGTAACGAATCGTATGTGTTATTTAATTAATTTATTATGGCATTTATAACGTCAATAAAATTAGTAGAACGTACCTTCAGTTCGCTGAAGATCTCTGTGAAGAATCCGGGCTCGCTGTTGATTCGCAGCATCTCGGAGCTAAGTCGATTGACGATCAGGAGACATCGATCCCAGAACTTGTCCTTGCTGTCCTCGACGAGGAACGGCTTCAACGGGTAACTGATCTCATTACCCATGTAACTATAGCTCAGGTAAAGACACGTCAGTACTGTCGCCTGGAGCTCTTTCTCGGACGCCTCGTCTCCATCGACGAGTTCTTTCACCAGCATATACACGAAAACTACATTGGCAGGGTTTATAAAGGGCACATCCTGGCAAACAAAGGGAAATAAATGTGTAATTAAAATTTTGCATATTCATATTTTATTGACGCAGATTTAATATAATACATAATATTATTTATTTTAAACACATTTACTTTTTATGGATCATTTTATATTAATGACGTTTAGCGAAATCGTTCAAATTGTTCAGAAATATTCTATTTGCAAATATTCTATTTATCTGGCTTCTCATAAAACAAACATATATCTATACACATATATTGTGTAAAATATGACTCATATCTAAAGCACATCATTTTGTAATATAAATATCAGCTGTGTATCTCGGACAACAATAAGTGATAAAAATAAAGTTCGTGACAATTCGCAATTACGGAAATAAAAAGAAATTTTTTTTTTCATTAGATGACCACTAAGTATTTATTTAAGTCTGTACTTTAATATTGTTCAAACTGACATAATTTCGAGACAACTCGAGTTTAATTTTTAATATGTGATATCACAAATATCATTACATTATTGATGATATAAGCTACATTTTTTACGTTTGCTCTTAATTGCTGTGCTACATAGCATCACATACACGTTGAACATTTCCCTATGGACTTTAGGGACACACATCTTTTCTTGTATGCATACACATGCGTATGCATACACATGTGTGTCAGTATAAATATATGTAGGCATATATATCGGACGCAAGCGCTTTGGATACAAATATAGTCACACAGATGTTAATTAGTGCGGATACACATATAAGAAGAATATGTCATATAAATAGAGGGATCTATTTATACTTGATAAGACCTCCAATAGCCATGAAACGTGTGCAATTAAGTACATCTATGTATACAACTACAATATTAATTTACATATAAATAATCCGCACTAATTTAAATCATACATATATTATTTATATATATATATATATATATATATACTACTTATAAG